GAAGGGATGCGCGAGTTTACGATGCCCGGGCCGCGCGGGATAGACAGACGGCGGCGGGAGCGTTTTCATCAGCGTATAAAACGGGCAGTTGCGGGGCGTGTGGAGCGGCTCACGATACAAATAGATGCAAATTCTTAATGTATACCTGCAGAGTTTGCAACGAAGAAGGGCATTTAAGAAAAGTGTGTCCACGTTTGCGGAGGAGGGCTACAGTACATACTATGGAGGTAAATGAAGAGGGCAAGGAGGATGCTGTGCAACCTTTAGAGGTACATATAAATAATTTTAGTAGTACTTATAGTTATGATTTTTATAAGCCTCTAATGACTTGTATTGAAGTAGATAATAAAAATATCCAAATGGAAATTGATACCGGAAGTGCTATTTCCTGTGTGAGCTATGATTTTTACAAAAGTAAATTTAATGATTTACCATTATTGACAACCAATATAGTGCTATGCTTTTATACTGGTATTAAAATTGTTCCGATCGGGAAAATTAGGCCGACTGTCAAGTTCAGAAATAAATGTGTCTCATTAGATTTGTTTGTTGTGAAACAAGGCAAAAATCCTTTGTTGGGTCGGCAATGGATATACGAATTAGGATTAAATGTTGCCGATTTACATTGTAATTTTGTTAGAACTAGTACTACGGCATTAAGTATGGATTCGTTAATTTCCAGATTTAGTGATGTGTTCGAAGAGGGTCTGGGTCGTTTCACTGGTGGTGCGGTGTCGCTGCGTGTGCGCGAGGGCGCGCGGCCCGTGTTCCGGCGCGCGCGGCCGCTTGCTTACGCGCTGCGTGAGCCAGTGGAGCGGGCGCTTGAACAGCTGGAGCGGGACGGCGTCATCGCGCCCGTTGACACTTCGGACTGGGCCACGCCAATTGTACCCGTTATAAAAAAGGACGGATCTATACGGATTTGCGGTGACTATAAAATCACATTAAATAAATGCCTAGAAGTGGACCGTTTTCCCTTACCTAAGGTAGAAGATTTATTGGCTAAGTTACATGGGGGGGAAAAATTTTCGAAAATAGATTTGTCGCAGGCTTATGCACAATTTGAACTTGACGAACCCTCTAAAATGTACACTGTGATCAATACACACAAAGGTCTTTTTAAATATAACCGATTAATCTATGGTCTTTCGTCTAGTCCGGGTATTTTTCAAAGGAAATTAGAACAAATGTTTGCCGACATGCCTACAGTAGGGGTATTTTTAGATGACGTGATTTTAACAGGAGTCGATAATAATTCTCACGTAAAAACATTATACCAAGTTTTGGAAAGGTTAAAACGTTTTGGGTTAAAAGTAAAAAAAGAGAAATGTACTTTTTTCGCAGAATCGGTGACTTATTTAGGTTATGTAATTAGTAAAGAGGGTGTACATACTTGCCCGCAAAAGTTGAGTGCGATTAATAAAGCACCAGTCCCGAAAAATATTTCCGAGTTGCGTTCGTTTTTAGGCTTGGTAATGTACTACGCTAAATTTGTAAAAAATATAAGCATGCTGTTATCTCCTTTATATAAGTTGTTACGAAAAGATTCTAAGTTTGTTTGGACGGATCAGTGTTCAGAGGCTTTTACGAATGTCAAGCAGTTGCTAGTTTCAAGCGAGGTGCTAGCGCATTATGACCCAGGATTGCCAATTATTCTGACGACGGACGCTAGTGCACGCGGGGTGGGGGCGGTCATATCACACAGGATGCGCGACGGCCGCGAAAGACCTGTCGCTTATGCATCCCGAACGCTTAGTGCGGCTGAAGTAAACTACTCACAGATACAAAGGGAAGCATTGGCTATCATATTCGGTGTCACAAAGTTTCATCAATATTTGTACGGCCGGCATTTTTTGTTAAAGACTGATCACAAACCGCTCGTCAGTATTTTTGGTGAAAAGGCAGGTATACCTACCATGGCGGCCAGCAGGTTACAGAGATGGGCAGTTATTTTATCAGGGTATCAATATGATATCGAGTATGTACCGACATTAAAAAATAGCGCGGATGCATTATCTAGGCTACCTATCGAAAACAGCTGTGTGGAAAGGGAAGTAATAACATATGTAAATTTTGTTCAGGATTTTTTACCAATAACAAAAGATTTAGTTTGTGAAAAAGTTAAAGAGGATAAAATTTTAACGGGAATTAGTATGTTTTTACGTTCAGGGTGGCCAAATAAATGTCCAGCATCGGACATAGAACCTTATTTTTCTAGGCGAAATGAATTATATTTAGACTCGGGATGTATCATGTGGGGATATCGGATGGTAATACCATCCGATCTGCGTGATTGTATTTTAAAAGAACTGCACACGGGACACATGGGTATAGTAAAGATGAAAAGCATAGCTCGTAGTTACGTTTGGTGGCCCGGAATAGACGCGGATATTGAGCGAACTTGCCGAGAGTGTGTAGTGTGTGCGCTAGAGGCGCCCGCTCCGCCGCACGCGCCCCCTAGCCCGTGGCCTTATCTCGCCGAGCCCTGGAGTAGACTCCACATAGACTTTTTGGGACCTTTTGACGGGTATACTTTTTTTGTAGCGGTGGATTCGACAACAAAATGGATTGAGGCGTATAGAATGTCTCACCAGACAGCCAGGGACGTAATTAAAGTTTTAAGGGAAATATTTTCTCGATTTGGTCTCCCGAAAGAAATAGTGTCTGATAACGGACCCCCATTCACTAGCAAAGAAATAAGTAATTTTATGGAACATAATGGTATAAACCACACCTTCACTCCAGTGTACCATCCGTCATCGAACGGGGCAGCTGAAAACGCGGTAAAGCTCTGCAAAAAAGCTCTAAAGAAAGCTTTACACGAAAAAATTGATTTTGACACAGCGCTGCAGTCTTATCTTTTTGTATATCGAAACACGGTTCATAGTTCAACTGGTCAAACACCAGCTATGTTGTTGCAACATAGAAATTTACGATCTAGATTAGATCTTCTTTGCACTGCAAAGAATAATAATGCTGTAACCAACGCACAAAAAGCGCAGGAAAATCAGATAAAAAATGCCGGCGGGGTCCCGCGTAGTTTTGAAGTAGGAGAGGAGGTATGGGTTAGAGATTTTGGCATGGGGGATGATAAATGGTCTAAGGGTAAAATAGAAAAAAAAATAGGTTCCCGTAATTATAGTGTAGCTCGGGAAAACGGTCAACTTATTAAGAGGCACATAGATCAGATACAAAGGAGATCGCAGATTTCAATACTTTCGTGCCCCAGTTCGGGTCCAACTGATTGCGTTAGCGCGCCAGCCGCCGCGCCGGCAGTGAACGATCCGGACCCCTGTGTACGGGTCAGAAAACCGGTAGAAAGATTCGGCAACCCCGTGTTTTATTGAGTATTGTTTTTTTTTTTTTGGTTACAATATAGTTGTAATTATATTTTCTTTTGTACTTCATTATTATTATTTTTTTTTGGTTTGTTTATCATTGAATAAGTGGTAGGGTGTAATGTATGTATTAGAGATGTTATAAATTACTTTCAACCTTAATACTAAGTAATAAGATTGGTTTTGTCAACAAAGTTAATATTTTATATTGAAGGTATCCACAACTGTTTTCGTTATAATTTTATAAGGTGTCATCCTTCCTTCTTGAATAAACCGTTGTACAAGACGAACGTGTTTTCATTACGGCAACTCACAAACAGTTCAATAACTAGAAAAAATTCCACGCGGACTAGGCAGCAGACGGGGCTCGAACCCACACCCTTCGCTATCCGGGCGAATGCACTGACCAATTATGCTATCGTGTCGAAATTCTTCTAGCCATTCTTAATGCTTCCGTCTGGTCTTCACCGTTACTTAACATCAGGTGGGGCGGAGTCATTTGTCGAACTTAACAATAAAAATAAAATAAAAAAGAAGAACTCTTTTTAATACATTATCTAATATACTAAATTCATTATAAAATATGTTCCATTCTATTATGAGATTGGTGAAGGTCGATGTAGATTCGGATCTTAGACTATGCTAATTAAACAGATTAATACCGATTTAAACTCACCCAAGATTCATGTCATATCTCATATATATTCGTAAATATATACTGACATTCCTCCACCTCGTACCTCACGAATCGCATCCTCATACATAATACGAACCGCTAGGGAATGGAATTCCCTTCCTGCGTCATTATTCCCGATACATATAATATAGGGATCTCTAACGCAAAACTTAATAGGCATTATTTGAGTCTTCGTGCTCCAACTTAGACCACATCGTTGCTAACATCAGATGCGAGCTTCCGTCTGTAGAAGTTACAGAAGACAACAGTGGAATAACGTTATATTTTTATGGTGCTATGTTAGTGTCACAGGCCACACGCCACAGCCACAAACGCCGCCACGAGAAGCTAGAAGCGGCTACTAAAGTGGCTGAAGCGCGCGACAGCGGCCGACTAAGGTAAGGGAGAGAGGGGTGGGGAATCGCGCGAGTGACGTGTGGCGGCGTTTTGTACCGGCGCATTAAGTAGCCGGTGCGGGCCACAAGAAGCGAGCAACGACGATTTGTAGCGTGTGACGCCCACCGGCGTACAGTGTGTGGTTAGTCCATATAAAATGTATGAAAACTACAAGAAATATGCCGGTGGCGGCGTTTTGTGGTTGTGGTCGGTGGCCCGTGTGCGGCGACACTTAATGCTAAGATTTCAGGGTCCACGGTGTAGAAGCATGTATACAATACTATTAAATAACTACTACTAGGTCGAATTTCTTCAATAAGGTAGAAGTTCCAACCGTGTATATGTAATAACGTTCCGGCAGACTTTTTCTATAATTATGATGAAGATGGAATGATTTTGTATTGACACCGTAACAATATAATATTTTGTTAATATTGTTACATAATTATTTACCGCTGTGAAGTATATTTCCCCAGTTTTTCTCCACAACTAAAAAATGTCCTTAACTGTGGTTGTTGGGAAAAATATGGACGATTCAAACGAGTTCTATTGTGCAGCCAATTTGAATAAAGATATTTGGCTTTTGACAGGGAGGAGTACGACAGTGCGTGCCCGTCCGACAGGCTGCTGCGCACGCGGGAGACCTGCCGTGTGGACGGCGCCGACGTACAGTGCATCAAGCTGGGATGTTGCGACACACACGTGTACCTCGCCGGACGGTAAGGAGGAACAAATATCCTTGTCCATTTATGGTATAGTCGCGGAAATCCGCACGCGGTGTAATTCTGGTAAATCTATCTATAATATATATAAAACTCAAAGGTGACTGACTGACATAGTGATCTATCATCGCACAGCCCAAACCACTGGACGGATCGGGCTGAAATTTGGCATTCAGGTAGATGTTATGACGTAGGCATCCGCTAAGAAAGGATTTTGATCAATTCTACACATATATAAAACTCAAAGGTGACTGACTGACATAGTGATCTATCAACGCACAGCCCAAACCACTGGACGGATCGGGCTGAAATTTTGCATGCAGGTAAATGTTATGACGTAGGCATCCGCTAAGAAAGGATTTTGATCAATTCTACCCCCAAAGGGATAAAATAGGGAATGAAAGTTTGTATGAAACTTTGTCAATTTTAAACCGATCGGGCTGAGACTTTGCATGCAGGTATAAGAAGAATCATAGATGAATGTCATTGTATATAATACAGGCCTGAGAACAAAAACTGTAGTCTACACTTCAGCTCTACACCGAAGCGAAGCGAGGGCGGGCCGCTAGTATAATATAAAGAAGAGCACGATTGCGCGGGTGGTTAGCGCTTTCGGCTGCGATCGTTGAAGTTTCGCAGTGGTCGGTCTTTAGATGGGTAACCAAAAATCTTCTATCTCGAGTTCCTCTGTGCTTCGGAAGGCACGTTAAGCCGATGGTCCCGGCTACATCTGCAGTCGTGAGCACTCGCCAATCCGCACTGGGCCCGCGTGGTGGGTCATGGCCCAATCTCCCTATTCCATCCATTGGGAAGGCCTGTGCCCCAGCAGTGGGGACATCAATAGGCTGATGATGATGATGATGAAAACAACATTCCTCATTTCTGTTTCCCAGTTGTATCCCTAAAACAGTGGACCCGTGCAGCTTGCGGCTGTGCGAGCAGGCCTGTGAGGTGCACGGCGACCTCCTGTGGTGCTCCTGCCACAAGGGCTTCAAGTTCAACCAACACAACTACCGGCGGAAACAGCAACCTTATTGCGTTGGTAAGAGGAGCCACAGTTGTATAGCTAATGTAACATAACAACCAAAACGGTTTAGCCTACTGTTTTCGTTTAAAATCAAGAGCCATAGTTTATTTATATTTCTAGATAAAATATACTTATAAATGTATTAGTATATGTGATGTATCCGTTACCTAGCATCCCATAACACAACCCTTACAGCATACTTTGGAACTAGGCTTATTGATGTGTGTGAAAAAAAAAAATAGTTCGTCCAGTTAACAGCAAATATTCTTTTCCATATATGGTATAGCCGCGGTAATCAGCACCCGGTGTAATTCTGGTAAATATAATAAAAAAACAAACTCATTTTTCACCACGGAATTGGAAATTCATGTTATTATTTTAAATCAAATTGCGGATTCCAAGATGGTAAATGAGGCGGAAACATATTATTAAAACGCGCCGAGATACCCGGCGTCACCCCGGAGTTCAAACCTTATGACTTATGCTAAGTTAACTTTAACTTTTGCGCAATTTTCTTTTTTTGTCTATGAGAACCTCCAACGAACATGCTTGACATAATTTCCCATAATTTACAGAAAGTGCAATTATCCTGTACTTTTTTATAAAATTTTGGGATATTTTTATTGCAAAAATTTAGGTACTTGATCAGCATTGATGTGCTGCTTGATTCCTGAGACAAGTTGATTTTTTCTAGTAAATGTTTACTAGAACTTTGTTTAGGTGAGCAATACGTGGCAATACTATCAATTTGCATGATTTAATAACATGAGTAATAGGTACAGCTACCATCAATTAGCTTGATTTAATGACCTGTCAATAGATGTTATCAGCACGCCACGATTATAATAGTGAGCTTCCTCGTAACAGATCTGTCGACAGTATGTCTACAGCACGTAAGGGTATCGCTAACGCTAACGTTCGACACTCAGCCACTTGACGAAGCTCACTAAAAACCTTACTCATCGACAGAAACAATACTATCAGAAATTAAAGTCTTGCTGTTTAATGCTTACAATAGAAAGTTTTTTTTTGTTCTTCCAAACTGCATAATTTTATTTTTTGAAGTGAAAACAAACTTCTTTAGCGGCGTTGTACACTTTTTTTTGGTATGGGTAAAAAATGTTAAACACACAATAAAATTGGAAAGGTTGTTGACTTTCAATATATTGATTGGACGAAACATAGCAATATTTTATTTTATCGGATTATATTAATAAGTTTCTATCTAGGACGTCCACGTGGCAGCTTTATTGCGAAGAAAATGCATTTTTTTTATACAATAGATGTCGCTAGGTGCGCTTAAATGTGATTCATGTAAGTTGATTTCTTTACAATAGTTGTCGCTAAGTGCGCTTAAAAGTGATTCATGTAAGTTGATTTTTCTGAGATATAACCTTTTTTAATGTAATATAAATTGTCATGTTTGTGTACGATAGCGCAAGAAATAAATATTGTATTCTACCACATACATGATAGGACTTTTATACTGATAATTGAAGCAATTCGTGCAAAATTATTCCCTAACCATTCTAAAATATCAAAAATGCACAACGTTAATATTCAAGTTTTCACTTCTGCCGGCACTCCCGGAGTGCAACCCGTCGTTTGTTTATCAATGCTAGACTCATACCCTGCTGCCATAGTAAACGTTGGTAGAGGGAGTACAAATAAATAACTCGCCAACTGATGTTCTTCTTCTCCTTCACAGCGGGCAGCCAACATTTCCCCAAATCGACTTTATATATTGTGGTTGCCAGATTCAGGCTTATAAATTCATAAACATTTATAGGCTACCAAATGAGTAAATAGGAGTCCAAGTTCTAATTCTAAGTAGCGCTAAGGATTATCCACTCTACCAGATCACCCAAGAAGCTCAGTAGTCCTTTCATGTGTCAATGATGATGTGTTGTTGTCAAAACAATTAAACAGAAGTGATTAAAGTATTATTTATTTAATTCAAATTACAAATCAACAGCAGTATCAAATATAGTGTACAACAGACAGAGCGAGAATGCTCTCTCTCGAGCATTATATATTTGTCCTTGTTTAAACAGCCACAGATTATGTAACTTATTACTGAGCTTACATACACTAATGGTATTGACAGATCAATACCAATCTCACATAACAAATGATAATGTTCTACAGATGTGGACGAATGCGCCATCAACAACGGCGGGTGCGAGCAGCGGTGCGTGAACGATGTAGGCGGCCACCACTGCGATTGCGCGGCCCCGCTCACTCTGTCACCCAGGGACGGCAAGAGCTGCGAGCGGCCCGTGCCTATCGCAGTACCGGTAAAATCCTGTTATTACATAAAAATATGCTACAGACAGCTGATGCATCAGAAAAACGTCCAGCTCCATCCGTAGCATCATACTTCTTGAAGCTAACTTCCAGAAATACAAAACAAGATAGGTACGCAAGAGGATTTTATATGTAAAAAGTCAATTTAAATTATCGTGATCATAGCAATGAATCAAGGTCATGATTATTGTGTTTATATATTTAAGAATTTAATTGCTAGATGTTTAAATTAAAAGCACATGTGAAACCAAGACGGCAATAACCAATATTCATTATTTTCTACTAGTAGACCTGACAGACGTTGTCTTGCCCGATAAAAATAAAGAAGCATCCTAAAACTCTCTTGTTAGTTCTCAAATTCTCAAGTTATGATGTCGCCATGGGAATTGGGGATTTTTTATATCTAAAGAAAATTTGTGTTTTAGGAGCCGTTACCACTGATTCGCGCGTCATCTCGTTGCTACGCACCGTGCGACACTGTGTCGTGGTTATCCCGCAGAGTGAAGCAGTTGAGCGACCAACTGCGAACGACTGAAGCAGCGCTCAAGAAGATAACAGAGCATTCCATCTTCAAAGAAGGTTTGCTATCAATAAGTACTTCAAATTGTGGCCTACTTGCTTGCTTGTACAAACAGGTCACACAGGTGAAGGTCTCCTCCTTTCATCTCCTCTCCTTCTTTACTTTCTCTCTCTTTTGTTTTTTTTTAATACGAAATGCAGCCAATATCATACTAATCTGATGTTGAGTATAAGTGTAAGATAGTTACTTACAACTTTGAGGCAGAAAAGAGTGCAATGCCGCTTAGACGCTTGCGTTACCAAAAATACCCCGTGTAGATAGAACCTAACAATCGCTCTTAAGACATATCAAATATTTGCGGATACAAAACATGATTCAATGAAGCTTTTAACTTTATGGACGAAACTGTATGTGGCTAACAAAATGAAGTAATGGGGTAGTTGAAAATGCTTTTTTCTAACTTTTTTTAACAGATGGTGAACGTTTTGCAGAAGGCACACTTTCATACCGAGTGCTAGATGCTACCGCACCTTTGGAAGGAGGCTACTGTCGTTGTGAAAGAGGTCCTAGGGTAAGTTATATTCATATGACCAGGAAGGCAGGAAACTAAATGATCTTTTGTCTCACTGGTCCTCACAAACTATGTACACTTGCATTTTCTTCCTATTGATGCTCGTCGATTTTTGCTGCTTACCACGTACCTGTTTCACCAATTTCATCAGAGTTTTTGGCGGGATTTCATCGAGTGCGTTTGGCGACTTATTTTATTTATTCTTAAATTCGTTCATAGTGGATATTGTGAAATAAAATTGGTGTGATTTTGTGTTACAACCGTCTGCGCAACTGAAGAATTTAGTCGAATCTTTAAAATATACGCTATTCCGGTCAAAGTGGACGTGAGAACTTTATTGTAGTGTTGACTACCTCACAGAAACTTATCGGAGAAAACAACTCGGTACATTTCGTGCCAAATACTCCAAGAAACATTAGAATGCGTCACACCGACATTCTAATGTAAATAAAAAATGAAGATAAGGATTTGTATTTATGTATACGACTGAAGGACTTATATCCATGGTCATGAATAAATAAAAAAAAATCATCATTGCATCTCCTACGCCAGTTTAAATGAATCTTTCTTTTAAACACAGTGTCAACTATGTATAAACGGCTTCTGCGAGTAAATTGACTGTCAGAAGAACACTGTATCAGCCTTATCAGCTGTGTACAACGATGTGTAGAAATTAACATTGCATCACACGAGGTCGGATTTGTTCAGGATGTGATGTGTATATTGGTTCGTGCTAAGGGTGCAGCCCTTAGCACGAACCAATATACACTTCTGGACACATCTATTGGCCCACCTTGTATTTTCAGTTTCGTTTGGTCCTAGCTAAAATTTTATTAGGTCGAGCAAAAAGTTTTTATGCAGTTTTGAACCTGGCACATTCACAATTTCATTCAATAGTCTTTTTTTGAATTTCGAACACAGAATTTAAAGAAACAAAAGACAATTTGGAGCCTGTTTGTTGATATCAAACAATCGAATACTAAGAAAACTTGGTTTTATTGGTTTACTTGGATTTAATTCTTGAAAGAGTGATTGATATATTTGGTTTTGCAACAAACATTACTTATTCTTAACATTAAGAAGAGGTTCTATCAATAATCTATGGATACTTCACCTGAAGTCGCCGCCCAAGCTGTGGCATTTATTCAGGCCGGACACAGCCAAAGAAACGTGAGTGCTCAACTTAATTTTAGTCGATCTGCGGTCCGAAATGTTTATCGGAGGTACCTAGAGACTGGCGGCTTTGTTCGTCGCCAAGGAAGACCACGATCTCGGGTCACAACTGAAAGGCAGGATCGATTCATCGTGACGACCAGCTTGAGAAATCGTCACCTTACCTCCATTGAGATACAAAGTAAATTCGCGACTTCCACGGAGTATCTGTGAGCGCTCGAACTGTTCGGAGAAGGTTAAAAGAACGCGATATGGTACCACACAAGCCAGCTAATGGGCCCAAACTAACGCGAGCCCACCGAACAGCGCGCCTTCATTTCACACACACAAAGCAAGATTGGAGCCGTGTACTCTTTTCTGATGAGTCTAAAATTGTGTTACATGGCAATGATGGAAGGAAGAAGGTCTACCGACGTAAGGGAGAGCGTTTCGCACAATGCTGCTTTGAAAAGAGGGTTGCTTATGGCGGTGGCTCATGGACTGTCTGGGGCGGTATATCCGCGTGCGGCAAAACTCAACTTGAGGTTGTTACAGGACCACGGCTGCTAACATTAAATGCTGAAAGGTACATTCGTGAGTACTTAGAACCTCACGTGATACCATACGCGGACTATGTGGGCCCAAATTTCCTTTTTATGCATGATAATGCAAGAGCCCATGCGGACGGCATCGTCAGGGAATATCTTCGGGATGTGAACATCACAGTTATGGACTGGCCAGCCAGAAGCCCAGACATGAACCCCATTGAGCACATGTGGGACGAGCTAAAAAGACGTGTTAGGGCTCGTCAGCCAGTTGCCCAGACGATGCAGGAGTTGAAAACTGCCATAGAAGAGGAATGGGAGATGATCCCTCAAAATTTCATAGAGCGGTTGATAAACTCTATGCCTAATCGTATGAGAGCTGTGGTAGATGCCCATGGAGGCAACACGCGTTATTAAATTAAACCTTTATTTGATAAAACATGTTTTTTATTCAAAAATCAATTGCCTTTAACAAGGCGCATATCCGACTTGTTAGGCGCATGGTATTCTGAATTCAAATTTAAAACAATACGATCGAAAAAGATGGTAAAATGTATCAGGTTTAAAACTGCATCAACAGTTTTTGTTCAATCTAGCAATCATATTTCGGTAGGGGCCATCGAAACCTAAACTCTAAGGTGGGCCAATAGATGTGTCCAGAAGTGTAGAATTCCAATAGTTCATCATCAGCCTATTAATGTCCCCACTGCTGGGGCACAAGCCTTCCCTATGGATGGAATAGAGAGATTGGGCCATGACCCACCACGCGGGCCCAGTGCGGATTGGTGGGTGCTAACGACTGCAAATGCAGCCGGGACCAACGGCTTAACGTGCCTTCCGAAGCACGGAGGAGCTCGAGATAGTAAATTTTTGGTCACCCATCCAATGACCGACCACTGCTAAAGTTGCTTAACTTCAACGATCGCAGCCGAACGCGCTAGCCACCTGCGCCATCGAGCTCCTCGATTCCAATAGTTAGCGAGTGCGAAATGTCAATGTCATATTTTGTATGAAAACTTGAATAGCAGCGCCACAACGTAAGTAACGAGAACTAAAAATCAGTACACATTTGACAATGACATTTCGGACTCGCAAACTATTCGAATTCGCTATTGGTTCGTGCTAAGGGTACTGTAGGTGTGCTTTTCGGTGCTAGGTTCAAAAAAATATTTCTAATTTAATACATATTTTTAAAAACACAGTTTTAAGATCGCAGGTAGCGTAAAGAAAATGTTATTAGAAAAAAAAACCACGCGGACCAGACAGCAAATGGGACTGGAACCCGCACTCTCCGCTAACCGAGCGGATGCATTGACAATTATGCTACCGCGAATTGCAACTAGTATTTCTTTGGCTGCGTAGCGCGTGGGTTCGAGTACCTACCGTTTGCTGTCTGGTCCGCGTGAATTTATTTCTAGAAACATTTTCTTTAGATTTATACCATCTAGCAGTTAAATATTTAAAAAATAAAAATATAATCACAGGTAGTTCTTTACCTAGAAGATTTTAGATATTGAGAATTTTCTCTCTTAATTGAGGTTGTTTGTTATAAGGGCCCCGCAGGAGCACCCGGTATGGAGGGCCCCAAGGGCGCGACTGGGGCGCGGGGCCCGCGGGGCGCTCGCGGTCCCCAGGGCTCACTCGACCTCACGTTACTGCTTCTCGCCGACATTCGCCACGACATCCGCAACCTGGAGGCTAGGGTCTACGCCCAGGGCGAGCAGTGAGACCCATACTTTTTATTTCATATAAAAAAAATCAAAATCCAATATCATTGTTTCAGTGTAGCTAAGCTGTTACAAACACTTGTCAAGGTGAAGGTCGGGAAGCTACGCGCCAACGGCACCTTTTCGCATTGTAGGTAACCCATAATGTCAAATGAATAGCTTTACACGTATTAAACATTTGAAAGAAGAATAGCATATATAGTTATATTTTTACTTTTTAAGCATTTAACTGCTAGATGTTGCAAAGGTATTTATTTGATATTTTGGGTTTCCTACAATGCGAAGAGATGGCGCTGCCTTGCAGCTTAAGAAACACTAGTGAAAATTCGATACGCCGTCAGGGCCGCGGTAGCATAAAGGTCAGTGCATTCGCCAGGATCGCGAAAGGTGCGGGTTTGAGTCCCGTCTGCTGCCTGGTCCGCGTTAATTTTTTTTCTAGTTAAATTTTCTTTATATATACATATAGCAACTTGGAGGTCAGGGTCTTCGCACACTAGGATAAGTGTGACCCCTCATTTTAGATCATAGACATAACAACCTGGAGGCCAAGGTCTACACACCCAGGACGAGCAGAGAGACCCCTTATTATATATCTCATAGACATAGCAACCTGGATGCCAGGGTCAACGTCCAGGGCGAGCAGTGTGACCCCTCATTCATTTATATTGTTGGGCTCGCTGGACCTTTACTGTCCGACAGACGGCACGACATCCGCAACCTAGAGGCCAGACCCACGGAAACTACTCTCCACATACGGGAAGCGGAGCCCCTTATTTATTTATCGATTTCCTGAAACAATAGCATGAAATTTACAACTTGAAAAGTTGAAAGAGAGAAAAGCGATGGTGGAGCCCATAAATATTGTGAATTGTTGACCATTGTATTTATCTTTGAGATTTTTGTATTATTTAATCTTTCTGCTCAATACAGCGCTTTTTGTAATGCCCTATTAAGATTTCTTGCATTAAAAAATAAGAAGCGAATGTTCGCCGCTACTCGCAGGCCGGAGCGTTTCAACCTGCAGAAGGCGTGGCGTCACCAACGCAAGCAGTCACAGCTGGAGCAGGAGGCCCTCACGGAACAGGCACTGGAGGCCTACACCGCGCCGCCACTCGTCAGCCAGGGGCCCGTCGAGATATCGCCCAACGGTTAGCACATATTACTCCCATGCAGTCGCATCTGGAGCAGGAGGCCCCCACGGAACATGCACTGGAGGCCTACACCGCGCCGCCACTCATCAGCCAAGGGCCCGTCGAGATATCGCCCAACGGTTAGCACATATTACTCCCAAGCAGTCGCTTCTGGAGCAGGAGGCCCTCATCGAGCAGGCGCTCGTCAGCCAGGGGCCCGTCGAGATATCGCCCGACGGTTAGCACATATTACTCCCAAGCAGTCGCTTCTGGAGCAGGAGGCCCTCATCGAGCAGGCGCTCGTCAGCCAGGGGCCCGTCGAGATATCTCGCAATGGTAAGCACATATTACTGCCAAGCAGTCGCAGCTAATGCAAGAAGCCCCTACTGAATAGGCACTAGAGGCCTACACTGCGCCGCCGCTCGTCAGCCAGGGGCCCGTCAAGATATCGCCCAACGGTTAGCACACATTACTCCCGAGGAATAAAAGCTGGAGCAGGATGCCCTCACCAAGCAGGCACTGGAGGACACACCGCGCCAGGGGCCCGTTGAAATATCAATTATGGTTAGCACAAATTACTTCCAAGCAGTCACAGCTGGAGCTGGAGGCCCTCACCGCGCCGCCACTGAATCAACTGAATCACCCAACGTCTAACACGCACACTTCTACATTTCTAATAAGAAATCGTAATATAATATCCAATCTTTACAATCTAATAGATTTTCCACGCCTAATTATTTATCAAAAAAAAAAGAAACTAAACAATACTCGGTAGTTTCTACTATTGGACAAAACAATTTAGGCATTTAAGGGTTGCTATCTTCTAAAATACAAAAACTCGAATTGACACTGAATAAGACAGCTTATTTGTCCCTTAAAGCCGAACTCTTATATTCCTTTAACGCCGTGCAGGCACTATGCTAAACTTACAAAGAAAGGTCTACCAAAAAACGGCTGCCTCCATTTAAACGACGAAAAAAAATGTTAGCCGTTACAGGACGCCTGGCAGATGTGAAACATTAGCCGGTTTACGATAAATACACTCGGAGAATTTCTCGGGATGCGTGCGGTAAAAAGTGACATAGATCCTTCCTCGAAGGGCGCAGGCGCCGTACTGATCAGCGAGTAGTTGAGCACTGGTTTGCATTTTACGGGCGAACTTGCCACGCCAGAAATCGGTTTTACGTGTGCCAAAAGATGTTTCACATCAAAACACGTTTGCTAAAAAGAGTCTTTTATTATTGAATAAAATAAAGGTTAAAAAAACCTTTTTAAAAACAGCTTTTATTCAAATGCGCTAAAAAGAAAAAAAATTATCCGCCATTTTCGGTGTTCCGCCATCTTGGATTTAGAATGACGTCACACAATTAACTATGCATTGTCAGTTTAAAAGTCCGCCATATTGGATTGAGAGTGACGTTACATTTTTTCGAGTTACTCTCAGCAAGCCCTTTAATTTGATACCCATATTGTAGGAATGCATTAAAAATGATTGGTCCGCCATTTTGGGTATGCCGCCATATTGGATTTAGAATGACGTCACACTGTTAATCATGCATTGTCATCCGAACTGAACGAGCATACCAAATTTTAGCTTAACCGGTTGAGGGCAAGTGCTTTAAAATTGAGTTGTAAGATTTGACCGTAACAAACATACATAGCAAGTTAAATAAAAGCTTGTAAAAACTGATTATTTCTAGGACAAACAGGAGAGCTGGTGCATTCGGAGAGTAGCACTGACTGGACGCTCGTGAAGGGCGAGACCGAACCTCCGGAACTACCACAACTCACGCAGGTACCTACTGCCATCCTTTAATGGTGGTTGTTCTGCATTTATCCTATGACGTCACATATACTTTATACTCATTTAAGATTTCCCAACTCAACCTATTTATGTTCCTAACTCAATCCACAAAAATGATTTCATTTTAATTTCCTTATTCATCACACCAGTATACATAGCTCAACCCATTGCATCATCATCATCATCAACCCATGTTCGTCCACTACTCGACACAGGTCTCCCCTAATGCATGCCACTGCTCTCGATTTTGTGCTACTCCCATCCAGCCCACTGCAGCCAGCCTACGAATATCATCATCCCATCTTGTCTCAGGGCGTCCTACACTACGTTTACCGAGTCGTGGTCTCCACTCAAGAACTTTCCGGCTCCAATGGCCATCAGTTCTGCGACTAATGAGACCAGCCCACTGCCACTTCAGTTTGCTAATTCGGTGGGTTATGTCGGTGACTCTGGTTCTCTGTTTGATTACATCATTTCTGATGCGGTCCTTCAGGGATACTCCGAGCGTAGCCCTTTCCATAGCTCTCTGAGCGACTTTAAACTGGTGGACTCGTCCAGCCGTGAGTGTCCACGTCTCGGCGCCGTATGTCATAACTGGGAGGACGCACTGGTCGAAGACTTTTGACTTGAGACATTGAGGGATGGCTGACGAGAAGACTTGATGAAGCTTACGAAATGCTGAACAGCCCAACTGGATTCTTCTATCGAAGTTGTTTCTGCCTAATCAGAGCGTTTATTGTAAAATTTAAGGTTTGTGTTTACGATCTGAACAAAAATATTCTAATTCAAAGTTAGAAGCATTTGGACATTGAGAAGTATTCAAAAGAGAAACTTTGTTTGTTTCAAATGTTAACAATTTTAACATTCAGCTACTGAGATTGAAACGAATATATGTTTTTTCTTTGCGCTCAATTTAGTTTTCATGTCCATGGCACAGACACACGGACAACCGCAGGTATAATTAACCAAAACTGTTCTCCAACTGATTTTGCGCTTTTCCTCTATTGATTTATAATGTATAATCGATTGAACAAAAATTGTGGTAACTTGATATGTCGCTGAATGTACCTACATTAAAATTTATCTGGGCCAGATCAATTCAACGTTACTTTTGTTACCAGGACATGACCACGATGGACGCCAAGCTGCGAGAGTTCTACATCCTGGTGAACACCACCAGCCCGGGTGAAGAACCTCCCGATGATGATGACGACGGAGACATAGACTACAGCATGTACTGAATACAACAAGTGACCACACGAACCGCCTTTAATTCTTACTACCCTCAAACTCTTCAGAAATTTGTTTTTAATAGATCGATTATTTTTCGTAAACAGTGAAGTTGTATTATATACATCCTAGATACAGTTATTAACTGCACGGAAGCAGCACAAAAATATCTATCTACTACTACTTAAGGTATCTACCTTAATTGTGTATTGTATTGTATCTACAATACAATACACAATTCTTTATTGATAACACCATAGTACAGTACATAAATGCGGTACATACATTGTTTAAACATAGTCATTCAATGGGCGGTCTTATCGCTTAAAGCGATTTCTTCAACCTTTGGATGGAGAGGATAAAAAGAAACTGGAGTCGGTGGTGTTATAAAAGAAACAAGGGATATAAAAAATGTATATAACTATGTATATAACTATATATATTAAATATATATACATACCATACATACATAATATATACACATAATATTACTATTATATACCTACTAGTTGACCCAGCGAACTTCGTATCGCCATAAAAATATGGGTGGTAAAAGGGTGAAAATTTTGTATTGTATGTATTTTTAATGCCTCATTATCAAAAAAAAATTAGGGGTGGACAACCGTTATTTCACTTAGGGGTATGAAAAATAGATAGTAGCCGATTCTCATCGGAGGAGTATGGTTACTAACATTGTGACACGAGAATCTTTATATATATAATTCTTCTGTGAGTGTGTATGTCACTGAACTTCTCTTAAACGACTGGACCGATTTTGATGAAATTATTTGTGTGTGTTCAAGGGGATCTGAGAATGGTTTAGATTCACAAAGACGTGTAGACAGGACAACGTCTGTCGGGTCCGCTAGTTTTATATATAAGATAATATAAATACAATCTAACGTTAGAGTCACGTTACGCGAAACATGGCCGTTTTCTTTGCGTGATTTATTGGGATGGCTGTATCTGCCATATAGCCGTGTAAATAATCAAAAGAAACTGCACTGTGAATGTCGTTACTGCGACGCTATCGACCGCTGTTCATTAGTTAAAACCGACGTGGTTTTAAGTATTATTCCTATCATATATTATACTCAAGAATAGTCATTCTATGTTCACTGAAAGTGGAAAAAAACACAAAATAACCTAGTGCTGTGAGAGTTTTACTAAAACATCAGTGATAATAACTACTTTCGGAATAAGTACTTTCGCAACAAGAGTTCTACATTCTGGTGAACTCTACCAGCCCGGGTGAAGAACCGCCCAATGAAGATGATGACGGAGACATAAGAAGAAGAAGAAGAAGAAAGAAATTTTATTGACCATAACTAAACTATTTACAGTATTTTTATATAAATATATATTAACAGTATTTTTAACCTAAAATAAGAACAATAAAAAAAAAAATATTTTTTGGTCAACTAGGTCCCTGCCTCAGCTTGATACTGCAGCAACACCAGGGCTGCTGCAGCGCTGGTGATTCTGACATAAGACTACAGTACCTACCCTTAGCACGAACCAATATCGAATTCGAATAGTTTGCGCGTCCGAAATGTCATTGTCAAATGTGTACTGATTTTTAGTTCTCGTTACGTACTTTGTGCCGCTGCTGTTCAAGTTTCCATACAAAATTTGACATTGACATTTCGGTTTGCAAACTATTCGAATTCAATAATGGTTCGTGCTAGGGGTACAGACAGCCTGTACTGAATACAACACGCAACCACAAGCGCCACCTTTCATTCCTAAAATGCGATTCCAAATTTATAACGGTTGTGAAGTTAGCAGCAAGCGTAGGTTTCAGTTCAGTCACATTCCGTGCGCACCTACGTCATGCTATTTTCGTTAACTGCGCAGTTACTCACGCAAATTCACGGCCACTATGAAGTTTGAATCGATTTAAATATAATGACCTCAAATTTTAATAGTAAAAATGCAACTGTTTACTTTTCTTTTTAACGGTTCCAAGTCAACAAGGAACCCTAATGATTTTTGAGCGTCCGTCTGGTCGCAGCTTTAGTTTTAGCAATGTGTAATTTGGTATAGATGTATAATGGTAATTAATATCAAAAAGGCAAAATAAAACGAAACAAAAAATTAAAGATAGTTCTTAAATAAAATGTTATTATTTATTTTGGTTTTCGGAATATGAGAAAATATTCACGGCAATGTTATATTAAAAAGAAATGTATTAGGTGGGTTTACCTACAATGCGAAGAGATGGCGCTGCCTTGCAGCTTAAGAATAGCTAGAAAGAATTTCGACGCGGTCCGTGAGGGCCGCGGTAGCATAATTGGTCAGTGCATTCGCCCGGATTGCGAAGGGTGCGGGTTCGAGTCCCGTCTGCTGCCTGGTCCGCGTGGAATTTTTTTTAGTTATATTTTCTTTAGATTTAAACATCAAGCAGTTACATGCTTTAAAAATAATAAAAATTATAAGAAATGTATTGTTATACATGTTATGGCTTAGTAGGCTTTACCATTTTACAAGATATAGAAAAGGTAAGCAATATAATGGTGTCAATTCTGGCATGATTTGCTTAACCTATAATTAAAGGAGATTGTTCAGCTTCCATACATGTTTGGCCTAAAGACCAATAATCATGAAAATTTGTTTCCTAGATTCGAAATTGTATATAAACTAGCTGACCCAGCGAACTTCGTACCGCCATAAAAAAATTTAATAAAAAAAACATTGTCCAGCGGACAAAATTGTGAATCTAAACCATTCTCAGATCCCCTTGAACACACACAAAAAATTTCATCAAAATCGGTCCAGTCGTTTAAGAGAAGTTCAGTGACATACACACTCACAGAAGAATTATATATATAAAGATTACTGTAGAAACGAATATTATTGACGGACAATCCTGAGGACTTCTATAAACCATATACACTGAATAATTTTGAGGTTGTTTGCAAATTGGTACATAGGTATTAAAATAATAAAAAACAAATAAGTAACTAAATTATGTATTAGATTCAGGTATATAAAGCATGTAGATTAATAGATAGTTGCCTGTTTTTACAGTTAATGCATAAGAGTAACTTTCAAAATCAGGTATCATCTATGCAGTGCCGGTTATAATAAAGTACTCTGTGACAGAAACTGTGTGTTATTTGTGAATGAGCCACAAATTAGAGAGAATTTTTAAACTCTCGTTAACTAAAGAAAGCTTATTATTTTTGTTATGTTTATATTAATATTATAACCATATTTTAGATTTTTAGTGTATCACCTTATAATGTGTTTATGGAGGTGTTTGGCGAAAAATGTATGGCAATAGACTTTATGATGTCGCCTACCATCTATAATATTTGTCTTAGCACATTTGCATCTAGTAAAAATGATAATATACTTGTGGATATTAATACCACAGTGTAATAAAAAAAAAGTTTTATTTTATCGATCTTTAATCATCATAGAGATCATAATAGATTTTTTTTGATGTTATATAAACAACTTCGATCACTCTTTGGCTGAATGTTACTACACCCATAGCCATTAAAAAGGATTCGTATGTTTTCCAAACTAGTAAAAATATAAGTCCTTTTTAAAATGAATATATTATACAAAGGTGTCCGTTAAAATCTAATGACTGTGAAATAAAGTATAAATTACGCCAAGAATTACCGTATATGTCAATATTATTTGTACATTTTGGCCAATTTGAGCAAACTCCTTTGACAACAGTGTATCCTTGTTACTCACTATACAGAATGAAGAGGAAACACTGATGTTAAATTTAGTTTTAATTTAACATCAGTGTTTCCTTCGACACCACTGCTTGGTTAAACGTATAATTGCTTAGAAGCAACGAAATTAAAAAACACGACTTATTTATCAGCAATATAATATTATAATCTTTAATACGCATAACATAAGAATATCGACCGTAAGACGTCGCAATAGAATTCAACTTGCCACCGACGGTTGGTACTGAGCGACGAGCCGTTTGAACTCGCTACTCTTCACGCCGTACTCCTTGGTGAACTGGTGTTCAGGATGGCTGTCCAACAGCTGGGCTAGATAACGACCGGACACCTGGAAATAATAATAAATATCATATTGATGTGTAACATCTTTCCTCTCGCTTTCATGCAATTTGTGGGAGTGATATCGTGAAATGGGACGAAAGTGTGTAACAGGAAGCCGCGAAAGCGCGCGCTATTTGATTTGATTTTAGAGCATAACGTTGAAATGGCTTATTCCTTTTGTAGGTTTTTTTTATTTTTTACTAATATATGGTGAGGTTTCGAATGTTACACATTATACGCGACTACTGTAAGGCTCGCTCTTTTCACGCGACTACTGTAAGGCTCGGTTTTTATCAGTTCTTATCAGTGCAAGGTCTCCCTCAGCAATTTTTCAACTTTTAGTCCGGGAAGCAGCGACAACTTTGATTAAAACAAAAAGGGAAGATACGGTACACTCATACTAGAATCAAATTAAATATGATCCGACTCAACTACATAAGCAACTCTCACACACTCACACTTCTGTAAATAAACATTCAAACGAGACAGAATTGTACGCTTCAACGCAGCGTGAGCGAAACGGCGCGAGTCCGCGTCGCTTTGCAGCCGACTGCGTTTTCTTTTCTCTCTCTACAGACGGCAGAGGATTGTTGTCCTTTTTTTAATAAAAAATGGCGAATCAGTAATTAACATTCATGGCAAACCGTGATTTTTAAGAAAAAAATATTTTTTTATTTATTGTTCGATAGCTTAGTGTCTTCTTTATGTGGATTCCTCAATAAAAATCGGATATTCAGATTGTAGAATATTATTCATAGTAAATTACAGATCTTATAAAAAATATGCGAGTACGTTGTGTTTATTGAATACGAATCGCAAGCGGGAAGAGTGCATCTATATAAAACTAATGAGTGAGGAATGAATGTATGAATGGACGATGATGATCTGTATAACTATTGTAATGTGAATGTTGCATGTAATTTTTTTGGGAAAAGGTGGTGTTTCTAGTGCTATTGTGTACGATTTGTTCTCTGTAAATTGTTTTCTGGAAAACTATTGTGAAAGTCTCACGTAAGTGAATGTTATGTAAATTCTTGTGAGGTTAATAAATTTCTTAAACCTTATGATAGATGGACCGATTGTAGATTCCCTCGTCGAAGGATAGATGGCGCTAACAATGATTCTTGCGTATTATTTTGGATTTCTGAAAGTGATCCGTGATCCTTTAAAATATTTCAGAAACACTGCTATAGATTGTTCTAACCTCTCAGTAATACTAACCTCTGGTTTCCCGCTATGTCTGGCAGTGACTGCCAACCCCAGCAATAAGTCGGGTTGTTGCGGCGCGCGCGCAGCCGCTTCAGATAACATTTGTTCTGCTTCCTCCCACATACCTATCACAAACATCATCAATATCAACATTTATAATCTTCATCATCACTTGGGAATCATCCATATAGTAAATGTCACAATAATTTTGTGTGTTTCTACCCCTACACCGTCCCTGCCACAATTGGTCACATTTCTGAGTGTAAAAAATAACAAAATTCTCGTGTCTCGGTGGGCGTAATTATACTACTCCGAAACGGCTTCCGAAAGGTTTGATAATCGGACATCTATTTTTTAACCCCTTAAATGTAGTCTACCCTTAAATTTTATTTTTTGGACAAAATTTTTTGTTTAATTTTTTTTATAATACATTTTTATTATACATGTACAGTATAAAAAATCCAACATTGAAAAAATAGTAGTGTCCAAAAATAGACAGCTTAAACGGACGCTATTTTGAAACGGTCGGACGTGACGTCAGGATTCATATAAACCTTCAAACAAAATACTGTCATTTTGCGTTCCATACCTTCACTGCGAATGGAAACTGAAACATACGTCAACGACGACGACTTCCTGTCTCCCCACTCTCACACCGTTATGATGCCTCCCTGCATCCCTCCGTGACAGGCGTGAGAGGCGGCAGCAGCAACGCCCAAAGCGGCAGATCCATCCCCCTATATTACACATTATGACGCCTCCCTCCCTCCTCACACTCACCGCGACAGGCGGCAGCAGCAGCGCCCAAAGCGGCAGGTCCATCCCCCTCCCCGCTCCCCCTATATTACACATTATGACGCCTCCCTCCCTCCTCACACTCACCGCGACAGGCGGCAGCAGCAGCGCCCAAAGCGGCAGGTCCATCCCCCTCCCCGCTCCCCCTATATTACACATTATGACGCCTCCCTCCCTCCTCACACTTACCGCGACAGGCGGCAGCAGCAGCGCCCAAAGCGGCAGGTCCATCCCCCTCCCCGCTCCCCCTATATTACACATTATGACGCCTCCCTCCCTCCTCACACTTACCGCGACAGGCGGCAGCAGCAGCGCCCAAAGCGGCAGGTCCATCCCCCTCCCCGCTCCCCCTATATTACACATTATGACGCCTCCCTCCCTCCTCACACTTACCGCGACAGGCGGCAGCAGCAGCGCCCAAAGCGGCAGGTCCATCCCCCTCCCCGCTCCCCCTATATTACACATTATGACGCCTCCCTCCCTCCTCACACTTACCGCGACAGGCGGCAGCAGCAGCGCCCAAAGCGGCAGGTCCATCCCCCTCCCCGCTCCCCCTATATTACACATTATGACGCCTCCCTCCCTCCTCACACTTACCGCGACAGGCGGCAGCAGCAGCGCCCAAAGCGGCCGGTCCAGCCCCAAGTGCCCCGAGCCTTTCTGCTACCTCCATCACACTGTAATGAGCGTCTTGAACACCCGCTCCACCCTGATACAAACAGTAACGCTTAGACCAAATTTCACCAAGCTTTGTTATTCATTTTACAGCTTGTCAAGTTGTTTAAAGGAAAAATGTTTTTTTTTGTGTAAATCAAACACTAACCTCCTTGATGTGGTGTTAAAGTTTTTTTTTTCATCTTTATTGTACATTAATACTTAGGGGTTTTATCCGTAGATACTCGTATGTCACCATTGGTGTTAAAATTAATCATGGACATAGAGGTCTGTTGAATTATTAACAGATGATTCTTGTATATGTCAAACTAGGTAAAAATTAACGCCAATACAATACTATTTTTAAAAGATGAAGATGTTTTAGATAATATAAATAATTGAGAAAGCATATTACACCTTACGAAAAAACGAAAACGAAAGTCGAAAGGCTGCACAAGGGATGCACCGAAATCCATTCACATTCGATATTACTGAAGTTCGGCAGCTTTTACCGAACTTCGTCTTTGGCCAAAATTCAGTTAGATTTCCCAAATGTTGGCCGAAACTCGGTTAGCTTAAATTAATTTAAACAAGAAATGGAATATTAAAAAGAAATGTATATTAAAATGAAATCTTAAGCAAACAATGATTTGTAAGCAAGTTGGCACAACGTCAATGTTTGTTCATATTAGCTTTTACTGCCTTAGACAAAACTATCAAAAATGTCCTTTTAAAAAATTATCAAGTGTAATATAAACAAGATAACATAACATTCTTCCTTTGTAAGTTATTTAAGATGATGATACTATGACTTAGTTTTTTTTTATTGTAACAATTATTTGTTATTAATTCTGAACACTTTGTTTATTGAGCGAAAGAACACATTTAACATAATTAAACCGAACATTCGGCCGAATTTAACATTGGGCAGGAATCACATTTGGTGCAACACTACTTCACACATTTTATCTAACTTTAGGACTGAAAACTAAATTATTCAAAAATTTACATTAAATATAAAAATTGTATAATAAAAATAAACTCATTATTTTATTAATTTAATGACATAACAATTTTATATAGTAATAACAAAATTCAGCATTGAGTTTTATGGTTACCTGTGACAAGTTGAGCCAAGCCTGAGCAAGCTGCGTCAAAGTAGCATCATCCTCAATATCTTGCAACAATTTCAACTGCTTTTTGGCCAAATCTGGTCTATTCATAGCCAGAAGACATTGCAATGTGAAAGCACGTAGCTCAAGAGACTCTGATCCATGAAGAATTCTGAAATTATACAGTGGAATAATTAATGCATGACTGTTAAATATTTTTATATTTTTTTTATGCATTTTACTGCTCAATGCTTTAATCTTAAGAAAATTAACTAAATTATTAAATTATATTTATACTAAATATTTAATTTAAAAATTACCATTACCATTACCATGCATGGCGGCATTTGGTTCTTTCGAGTAAAATTTCTTTAGATTTAATTATTTTCTTATCATGATTTCAACAAATCCAAACTGACAACTAAAAATATGCACCTCATTTATACATCTAATAACAATAATTTTTGGCATGTTTCTATAAATCTTCAACTAAATTTGATGACACCATATCCTTATTGTGTTCTTCAGAAAGTAATAGGAGAAACTGCTGTCAATTTTAGTTTTAAATTTAGTGAACCATGCTAAGATCTGTACCCCAAGAGTGAACTTTGACAGCTCCATATTTGTATCACTTGTCAAAATTTGACACGGAAATAGAAACTGTGTCAACAGTGATACGAATACATTCTCGCTAGTAGTTAGTTAGTGTCGGCGCACACGGGCCACACGCCACAGCCACAAACGCCGCCACGAGAAGCTAGAAGCGGCTTCTAAAGTGGCTGAAGCGCGCGACAGCGGCCGACTAAGGTAAGGGAGAGAGGGGTGGGGAAACGCGCGAGTGACGTGTGGCGGCGTTTTGTATCGGCGCATTAAGTGGCCGGTGCGTGCCACAGAAGCGCGCAACGACGATTTGTAGCGTGTGGCGGCCACCGGCGTACCTGTGTGGCGAGTCCATATAAAATGTATGAAAACTACAAGAAATATGCCGGTGGCGGCGTTTTGTGGTTGTGGTCGGTGGCCCGTGTGCGGCGACACTTAGTGCAGTTATAACTAAAAATATTATTCTTACTTGAGAGCAGCCTCATAGTTGTCCTCGTGGTAATAAATGGAGGCTGCTACTATCAGAAATACCTCGTTACTGAGTTCAGTTCCCTTAGCCACCTAAAAAGAATTAAACATAAATACATAAATTGGGCATTACAAAAGGTCCCCCCGACTCCGAATAGGACCAACATAATAAACATATTTTTTACCAGATGACAAGAAACATGTTATTTTTGCATGAAAAAATGGCAGCACTGATAAAAATGGCTGTCAAAATTTACTTTAACCTACAATAATATTAATTTTCAATATTTTTTTCTCAAGTTGTATTTGTTTCCATATAAAAAGATTTTGTGTATGTGTTTCTAATAATTAATACTTAACGTGACAAAAATTTCAGCTTGCTACTCAACCACAACTAATGGAAAGCTGAGCCAACATTGTCAAAAATTAAACCAAATAATAATATATGTTTGATAAAAAGATGTAGACAGTATTCGATTAACACAAAGTTTAACTTGAATCCAAGATTTGGAACAAGGTTGTGCTTATTCTGATAGTTCTAATTTCAATCACTTGAGAATCATGAATGAACAAAAATAATAATCAAACTAATATTATAAAGGCGAAAGTTTGTGAGTGTGTATGTTTGTTACTTCTTCAAGTCTAAACGGCTGTAATGATTTTAATAAATTTTGGTATGGATTTAGCACACACCCTGGATTAACACATAGAAAATAAAAAAAAGCCTTTATTAAATTAAAGCTACCAGTTTACAAAATTTGTTTTTTTTCTTTTGTTGTAAACATAGCGTGTCAGTGACACAAGGCCTCCCCCAGCCTCTACAGGATGTCCAGCCGATGCTTGAATCTTTGGAGAAATGCTGCTTCCAATCTTCGCCACTCAGATCTGTTTAGGGCTATTCTTCTCCAGTGATTAAAACATAGGCTACGTTTTAACTGTGGGATATCCCTAATAAACCGCGGGTAAGACTGCAGGGCACAGCTAGTATTGAGTTAAACGACAAGCAATGCTATTGACTTAGAATGTAGGTACTATTTTTGTTGTTACTGTGTCAAAAAAATGACTCACTCTTGCATCAATATCAGCAACAATCGCCGGTTTGTTGGCACCTGGTGAAATGTAATCCACAAGGATTTTTAGAGGCTGGAGCATGGGATCTGCTGTCTTCAATTCTTGAAGTACAAGCCTGTAGTTGCCTAGAGCTATGTAGGAACGATACAAATAGGCATCTTTTTGGAGTGCCAATAGGGGTGTAGACGCCTGTAAAAATTATGACATTACCAGTATTGTTAACACTCCACACATCATCAAAAGCTATATTTGTCTATTATTTACTAGATGTATCAATTTTATAATGAAATATGAAAACAAACATGCGAGACTTTGGCATGATAACAGACGCTCGTGGAATCGATGTTATTATGCAATGCGCGCAAAGGAGATTACTTAAATTTACTAACTTACATTAAAACTGAGTGCCTCGTTAACGGCTTGCTGATAATTACCGACATAAAATGCATTTTTCACATCAAAAAGTTCATCAACATCCTGTTGCTGACGTGCCATCTTTGACGGACTAATTTGACAGTTCGCCACAGTGTTACTAGAAAGCCATTTCACCTTCCCCCCAAAACTTACCCGGAATCCCCCCAAAAATACAGGTTTTTGAAGAAAAACACCCCAACTTGCAAAATTTTTATTAAAAATACAATATTTACTACACAGTGTGTATTTTTGCAACAGCATATTTGCAATTGCTATTACTGGATCAGCATTTTGGCACGCGTCGTGTTTCCCACTCCTTTGTTAATTTCTTACATAACTTTGTTTTAATAATGCCATTATTTTACCAATGTGCAAACAATTAGAAGGACTAACTACAAAATTGCGACTCAGCAAAGCAAAGATGATAGAGAGTGTCGATTCGATTAGCAATTTAAGCTAACTACATTTAACAACTGACTGCCTTGCTTGACTTGACTGAGTGAGACAGAATGGACCGAGGAATACTATTTTAAGTGGGCTTTGGACTTAGGGGTGTGAATCGGGCTCACTGAATAAACACAGTTCAGTGGGCCCGAATCTGGCATGATTCTGTAAGCCTAAGGCATTGTCCTAATACAACGCGATAACGCGAATGAGCGATGCGATCATCGTACGAGTCGACGATCAAACATATTGATCTAGAATAGGTGTCCTAATAGGCGACCGAGCGATGCATTCGCGCGACTAAAATGTTTAAAAATCTATTAACGCGCAATCTAACGCGCAATCAAACCTATTAATGATGAATAGGTGTCCTAACTGAAGTTCGCGCGATGATCGCGTCGCGTCGATAGGAAGCGGGGAGAAGGGCAGGGCTAACCCGACCAAACTGTGTGTCAATCGTGATCGCGTATTCGCGTTCTATTAGGACACCCAGTTCGCGATCACGCGATGGTCGCATCGTTTAAACGCGCGATGATCGCGTTATCGCGTTGTATTAGGACAATGCCTCATAAAATTAAATTTGACAACAGTCTATGGTTGTGATGCTCTCTACATAATAAGAAAGAAAGACTGTTGATCGCGACTTTTTACAGATTAAAAGTTTAGGAAGTGGTTTTATTTTTATATAAAATAATGTAATTAAAAAAACATATTTCCCCTAAACCCCCCTATAATGCCCCCAAAAATATTTTCCCCCATCGCTTTAAAAACTTCCCAAATTTGGGGGGAATCCCCCCAATCTGGCAACAGTGGTTCGCCAGCCAGTGCTGCCCTGCCTTGTGGACTCTGAATATGGCTTATGGATAGTTTTTTTTTATGATTCTCCCTTTTCAGGGAAGGCAAAGGGAACAATGCCCATACAGCCAAGTCTTTAGTTATATTAATCTTCGTTTTTTACATTAGAATGTCGGTGTGACTCATTCTAATGTTTCTTGGAGTGTTGTGAGCGCGAAATGTATCGAGTTGGCTTTTCCGGTAAGCTTCTGTGAGGTAGTCAACACTACAATAAAATTCTTACGTCCACTTGACCGGAATAGGATATATTTTAAAATTTCCACTAATTCTTCACTTGGGTAGACGGTTGGAAATCACACCAATTTTATTTCACAATATCCACTATGAAAAAATTTAAGATAATTAAAATAAGAAGCCAACCGCACTCAATGAAATACCACCAAAAATGCAGAGTTTTTTTTAGGTTTATTCTTCCCTATTGGGAAAGGCAAAGGCAAAGCCATGCAGCCATCGTCTTAGTTTTGTATTAATCTTCCTTTTTTTATACATTAGAATGTGGCCAATGTGGGTGTGACGCATTCTAATTTTTCTTGGAATGTTTGGTACAAAATGTATCGAGTCAGCTTTCTCAACAAGCTTCTGTGAGGTAGTCAACACTACAATAAAGTTCTCATGTCCATATGACCTGTATTGCGTATATTTTAAAGATTCCGTTAACTCTTCAATTGCGTTGACGATTGTAAAAACTCCCCATATGGATAGATTTATAAAATCGGGAAGTTTACTTTCTATATAGGTAATCCATATCCAGATTTCATCGCATAGTTGAAAGCAGCATCTGGTATATTTAGTTTTGCTAAATAGTATCGTTTACAAAATATACTTTGCTCACGTTAATACAGCGTTATCCATTTTTTTTTATTTTGGTTTTGAGTCTTCTTTCTTTCACATTGTAAAAATCTAGGGAGGTTTTTATGAATGTAGTGTTTACGAAAAACAGGAGGCCTCCCGAAAAGTCGGGAAACATCAAGACATAGAAACACTGTAGTTTTTTTTCCTTTTGAAAAAGCTAAGGTTTGTTATCATGAAATCATACAGCCTCGTCATTAAATATTATTATTTTTATTTTATTTCTTTTGTGTACTGTTCTAACTTTAAATAATTTATTTTGTATCACTTCTATTATAATTTTTACTAGTTACCTATTTATTTTCGTTTCTCCTGGCCTGGCTTAGGCAGCCGACCCCGAACAATTCGGGGAAAAAGCTAAGCAGATGATAATGACTTTTATTATTTTCGAACACGTGCGTGATGGAAGCGAGTAGTACTTTACGGGTATTCAGAATCGTTTGTCTGCCAACACTTTTTTTGTAATTAAATTTCTATGTTTGTAATTACTTTTTTGTCATCATTTGATTATCAACAATAAAACTCTTACACATACGTTATTTTATAATTTGGCTCACTTAATTTAACGGTTTTTTACTGCGAAGTAAAATAGGCCTCGCGAACTTGATATCGCCGACGTCCACATGTGGTCTAGCCCCGCCACTGTAAAGCAGTCACCATAGGTGACACTAGAATCCGAAATCTCTGTAATATACAAGGCTTTTGACTGCAAGTGATGCTAAAATGGAAAACCTTCTTGGTAGAATGGAGTGGGTTAGTATGGAAATGGTATTAAAACTAACCATTCAATAACCAAACTTGTGGCGGTAGACCGCTCCTACAGACTTCAATTGACTCTACGCCTAGCTGGTGCGGACGAATTTATTTACTTGGATGCTACCATCAGCAACAGAGAATTTTGTAAAAAAATACATCAGAAGTCGTATCGGCATGGCAAAAAGTGCAATGTCCCAGCTATAGAGAATCTGAAGAGACCCACCCCAATATGTCGTAGGAGACAAAGACGAGACTGGCTAACTCTCTAGTGTTCTCCATCTTCACCTATGGCCCAGAAACGTGGACACTGATTATAAAAAATATGATCATGATCGCTATGCTATCGAGATGTGGTGTTGGAGGAAGATGCTTTAAATCCCGTAGTCCTAGCGAAAAAGTTGAAGACCAGACTGGATAATATCATCAAAGAGAAGGAAGGGAAGGATAATATCATAATATCATAACTGAGAGTAGAGAGTAGGGCATACATTTTCCGCTCGAATTGGAGTTCTGGTCTTAGGAAGTAACCTCCGCCTTACAGAAGATCACAGTATAGGTAAGGTTACAGGGTTCCACAGGGTAGGGCATTGAGTCAGCGAAGGCAACGGCGTGAGTGATAGTATTTTGTTTCGCAAACGTCTATATGCTGTGATGGACGCCTGTCATCAGGCGGGCCAGCCCTTTTAACATAAAAAAAATATTATTATTAAGAAGTGGTATATCATACAACTAATTTTATAGTACAGTGAAATTATTTACTACATAACTCGGCATTTGAACTAGGAAAATGAAAAATGAAAAAAAATGTTAATAAGAAAGCTGCATGCACATAAGATCGCTGCGTAAGAAAACATTTTAAGTTCGTTTTATGCAACCTTTTAATTTAAATCAGCTGCATACTATATAAAAATAATGCAACGGAACCATTCCTAAGCGAGTCAAACACACTTATTCGGGATTTTCCTGATTAGTAGCGTTTACCAACACTAATGTTAGATACCTCAAACGGTAAACTTTATTTTTATGATTTTGAAAAAAAAAACTACAAATAATTGTCAATTATAAATTTTAAACTCGGTTAAAATATGGAACAATGCTTTGAATGTGAATCGATAAGGATTACAGATTTAAATATTTATTTACTTTGTCTTGATTTTACAACTCAGATAAGGCAAGGTGTGAAGCTGAGGATGAATGAATGGTTCTCTAAGATAACATGGCACAATAAAATTTTTACCTGGATTCTTTCAACTTTAGCGATGCTGTATGCAGCAATCTTTCTTAGAATTCGTTACAATGCTGTTTTATCACAATAGATAGGTGTCTCCTTTCATGTCTGTTTGTACATTACGTAAGAAGAACGAGTGAGCGAAGCGAATAAACTTTGATGAAAAGTTGAAAAGATACAGAATTATCCCTTTTACGTTTAACCGTCAAAGACCGTGAAAGCAGCATGATATAGGTAGAAAAATATTGGTAGGCACCTAAAACCGATCAAGCGTTTTTTACCGTGGTTTTGCCGTCCGTTACACGTTACTTGCCTTCCAGTATTTTGTACGTTTTAGGGTTCCGTATCCCTAAGAGTAAAAATGGGACCCTATTACTAAAACTCCAATGTCTGCTTGTATGTTTGTCTGTCCGCCTGTCTGTCTATCCCTTGGCTGTGTTTCATGAAGCTTGATAGCTAGACAGTTGGGTTTTATCAGGTTACGAGACGAGTAAAGACGGCAAAAACGTTGTCCGGAAAATATTGTGACCATATTGCCAGTCCATCACCTGTAGGTACTATATCAGTGTTTCCTAACCTTTCCAATACTGCTACCCCTGTAACCTATTAGGAAAACAGATTTTACCCCGATTTTAAAATGTTATCATCAGCCCAAGAAATTCCAATTTGGCCGCTACATCTTCGTCTCCAATAATGTCATAATCAGGAAAAAATCTCGCCGCGCTTCCCACACTCAGCACCCCGTGGGCTCGCTCTATTTAGTAGTATTATTATATAGTATTTTCTTATTATTTAGATTTGACCAATTAATTAGGTTCTTTGTTACCCCCGACGTATGGCTGATTTACCCCCAGAGGGGTAATTACCCCCAGGTTCGGAACCCAAGTACTGTGTGGACGCTGA